TTGGATTGTTTCAGTTGCCCTAATATGTTATCATTGGACATTGTAAGAACACACTGTATCAAACAAGCTCGTTTTTGGTGATTCACCGACAGACAAATACATCACAATTTCAAATGTGATGATGGTGACATGTAAACTGAGTACAGTTGTGGAAAAGGCATTTCTCGCAGCAAAGCTTCGCACTGGGTTCAGCTCCAGGGCTCTCATTGATCTTTTCCTGTGGGACGATGTATATTGGCCGCAAGAGCAGACGTTTATCACCACCTATCTCATTCACAAAACTAGAAATGATCGCACGGATGTAACCAGTATGTGAAAAGATGCTGCGGATTGAGAAATCATATAATAAAGATAAAAACCTATGCGATGAAGCTGAGTAGCGAAAGGAGAAGCCGCAGGTAATAGATTGTTGTCATTGGCATTGCGGATTGAATGTATCAATCAGACTGGGAATGACAAAAAAAGTATGATTTCTGTTTGCTAGTGAACAGGTTCCTACTATTCAGGTGAATAGTGTTACTTCTTTCATCCTTGTTATCATTGTTAAGTATCTTGTCAAGTGTGCATTTCAATGTCAGAAATACGTGAGAAATCGCATTTGATTCAAAAGAATCGGTCTTATTCGAGAGAAACTCGGCCTCAATGGAATTTTACTCACTAGGTTATTGAGGGCTTCGACTGACTCCACTCATGCAATGAATCATGCTTACATTCACGTCTGAGCATGGTGACCAAACTTATCGATCCACCGACAGAGGTCAATTAACTCCGGGTTCGTTCATTCGTATCTATGACGCACACTCGATCAGCGACCACGAACATAACGTTNGGGAGAGGGACCCACCGAAACCTTCATCTTCAGTCACTCAAAAAGTACTTTTGTTTGTTTACGAAGGAGTTAGTTCATTCGGACTGGATGGGGTTTAGATAGACCCGGTTCAAAAGGACGTTTGACGGTCGCAACATCAATAATCTTCTGGGGTTCCCAGTGCAATGTGATTGGTCGGATTCACGTTGAGTTTAAAAGGTACAGTTAGCGAATAATGGAGTGATTAGGTCTATCAACGTTTACGACCCCTCTACTTGGTTCACAGTCGTCGACCTAAGGGGATAAGGAATCTTTGAGGAAAGTAGCTTGTCTTAGCCACGATGAACGAAAAAAATCATCACAAAGCGTTGGTGACTACGTTTCGACCCTCTTGGAAGGCCTTTATCAAGTCGTTTAATCGGTCAGTCTCAATAAGGCGATGGGATGACGACATCGTGTAATACTCTGACGTGATGCGTATGTGTGTATGTGTTAGTGATCTTTCGATGGGTGGCTGTGTCGAGTGAAATTTGTTTGACATTTAGGTCAAAACGTATGAATTGGTCAGTTGGTATAGGGGATGGGGACGAGACATGCACAAGTTGCTATGACTGTGGAATGACTACCCATCGGACGTTGTCACCAACGCTTTATGTTTAGTTTTTTCGTCTGTCATGGCTAAGACAAGCTAATTNGCTAATTTCCTCAATAACCATGAGCACAGCGCCCAAGTTTTTCAGTGAGATCCGTTCCATCCATGGATCCCGTGTGATTAGGATTCGTATTTTGGCTACAGTGGAAGCCATCGGAATCCGCCTATATCCAGAGAACATTTGTAAGGCCGTCTATGGCCAACATCACACACGGCACAGCCATCCCACACAACATTAATGACCCGAACAGATGGATTTGAGCCATGACCGAAATGTGAGCAGCATCCGGTCAGAGAACTGGAATGTTGATTATTTTTTCTTCCCAATTTGTCATGATTTCTACGACGTGCTCTCAATAAAAGTGATATCATCATTGGACATCTTGGAGAACTGAATCAGAATGTGTACATATAAAATTAGAAGTGGACATGATAACTAGTTCCTTCGCATTGGCTTCATCTGTAACAATTTAATCCTTCCGTATCCAAAGAATTAACATTTATCGGAATTTTGCAAATTTTGTTTTAGTTATTTATGGATCATAAGTCAAAATCTTGGGGAATTCCAAATATATTGAGTTTGTAGTACCCTTTGTCTTAGCAACACCTTAATTGAACTATGATGCGACTGTGACAACCATGGTGTTTCGAATTTTGCTTATAAAACATATTCCATTTGACAGATCTTGGTTTTCAAAATATACTAGCAGTTCAAGATCAGCGATGTGCGTTTCTATAGTGTTGCTAGTCTCAAATAAGAAGTTCACGCAATGAGACTTACTTCAGGGTTGTTGTCCACATCTTCATTAAAACGAAACAGAGTAGGATCGTAGGCATCTTTGTCGATATCGTACGGTTTTCGGAATGTCGGCACATATACTGTCTGATCATTGGAATCCTCTCTAGTTGATTAGACGGAGAACAAAATAATCCAGTGGGAATTGAGGAAGTAGATCGGATACAACCAGGGTCAGATTTATAGAGCTACTACCACTATTTGAGAAATGTGTAATTCTTTAGATATTCAAGTCAAGATTGGGAGATTCAGATTTCGTTATTCTGTGCATTCTGAAAACAAGTCACGTAGGTTGCAGAGCCTGGAATGGGGAACACTTTAAATACACATGTTTGGGCATGGCAGTGTGTTGGACAGTTTTGTCCGACCGCGGTAAATGTGCATGCGCACATCTGCCTCGCGATCACGTGTCCATTTCAAGCTCAAAGGCTAGCGGAGGGGAATGACTATATGGTCTGTTGCTTCGCGGTTTGATAAGCTAAACAGGATTACAACTTAGATGTAGCACGTTAAAACGGATCATGGGTGGATACAGATTATTCGTATTATCTGATGCTATTTAAATCCGATATACAGAGCTATACACATCTCATACGGTTGTTCTTTTCTCTTTTCAGAAGTAGGCGATTTTCGCATGCATTTGAGCACCCTCTGATTAGGTCGTTATCAAGTACAACTCTGCCGAGTTTCCAGCACTCTCACGTACCCTCTGATATTATTATAATATTATATTTATATTATATTATTATTATTATATATTATATTATTATTATTGCGGACAGAGAATCACTCTCATTGGTTGTCAAAGATCATGTACACGTTTGAAAACTCTACCAACCGCAATTGTCGCACACTTGTAGTAGCATGTTCTACATTGCCTATCATTCCTCGCAAAAATGATTACCTACACTGTGATGATCTTTATAGCGTTACTTTTTTTATTTCGTGTTAAACAGCGTTTTGGAAAGTCAGTTTTATTCTACCATAACACAATGCCTTAAAGCGAGACTGGCTACGGTCTAAGCTGGGGGGGGGTTCGCGAGCGTGAGGAAATCGGGTTTTCTTGTCTAGAAAGCGAAACAGACCTGGGTGTATTCCAAGTAGGGCCAAGTTCCAGTAGCAAATCATTTTGTTCCGAAGTCAAATGTTTTTGCATAAACCGAACCGTTTCGGCCGGAAGTCTCGGATAGATAATACTACGTGGTATGTCTGCACGATTTGTTTTGGGCAGGCGACAAATAGTCACTCCCTCTCTGAAAAACAAGCACGATAATGAATGGAACATGAGACGGAGTTACGGGCACTGCACAAATGGGCTTGGTTTAGAACAGGAGACCTAGCAAAAAGTTGTAGTCCCAAGTACGTTTAGGGTTCAGTTCGCAAAACCGTGACCATGGAACAGCGGCATGATCAGTCATTCACAGAGTGCGGTAAAGGAAATCAAAACAGATACGGGGGCAAATTTATGGTTGCAGTAGCCGCAATGCAATTTTCTCAGATTCGGCTTGCTGCACCCCAGGTGCTTTGGTATCTGATGTGTCCCGTTTAAGCAAGTACACATGCAGTCAGTCTGCAGGCCGGTGGGCAAGCAAGCATCAACGAATGAGTAGACATGCCGGTCAACAGCTGACTAAAGTGCTATATGAAATATAAATGCGATCAAACAGGGGGCTTCGTTACAAATCCAGCAGCATGGATAGCTCAACACTGATATCTGATTGATTGAGGCGACTCGACCTTGTAACAGCGTTCGTATAACGTGCGTTTACTAGCAGGCCGCATCGGTCAATCAGTCAATAATGTCAAGGGCATACTCGGCAAGCGGTTCAGTCAATGGTAGGCCACAACGGCCAAGGTTCTGTCACAATGGCATGTCACGTCTAAACCATGGTCACCGAAATTGTCCAAAAATAAGAATAAATTCTCTTGTACCCACCCAATGATATATTCTCCTAAACGTTTAACAGCTGTGCTTCTCTGATCATCATCTATTTATGAAATTAATCTTATATAACGCAATCCGTAGCGTTTCTTGCTTGGTTACATCAATTGTGAGAAAAAAACTGGTTGTGACACATCTGTTTTGTCTATGATAATGAAAATTGTTCATAAGTGAGGAAGCATCATGGCAGTTGTACGCGATTTCTGGTCGCATCGTTAGTGAATACTCACTTCAGAATATTGAACACTTTTTTTATCAACTCCGGAGCTTTGGGTTCTTTCACGTAGTCACTAAGTCTTGATAACAAAATACAAGCAAATTTCACTTTCTGGAAAAAGTCTTCGACCAAAAAACGGAACTGGGGATCGGCGCTACATTCCAATGGAATTATGCCTGTAAAATAAAGGAAATTAAAACATATTACCGAATATGAAACGGGTGAAAATGTTGCTGAACAATTCACTTCGAAGGATATCGGAACAAGACTAAACGAAGGGGAAAAGAAACAGGGGTGAAGGGAAAGTTATCACAGCGAAAACTGAGTGGACCAAAACTGGTATCTTGTCAAACTCCTGCCTGAGCGTGTCACGGACCGATCGGGTGGTATCAGAATCGCACCATGAGACGCATGAGCTAAAAGTAACAGTCGATAGTTGTTATCCTATTGGAAACGGTAGATAGCTCGGTTTCAAACATGATTGATGTATCAGTTTCTCTGAAAATGAAAGTCATTCAGAGGAAGAATTTTAAACAGTCTCTCCTTTTTCGTGACCCTTGAGCGATAAAATCGCTGTTTCAGTTTACCACGCTAGTTCTACGTGCATTAAAAAACAACTTTTTTTAAATTAGAAGAAAATCTGTCGTTTTGTTTTAGATGTCTTTCCATCGATTGAGAACGAGTCGGAAAATTCATTTCCTCTATTTTTCTTCTGGGTAATTATTCATCATTCTGGAACCACTGTGATGAAGGGGATCGATGAAACACCACTGCCTTTAAGAAGGTTTACGTGTTTGCAGACACTTCCAAGTAACGCTGAGGTCATTTATGGTACTGAGTCCATGTCTCAGATCTTCAATCTTGTCAGCTGGGCTCACCCCAGGATAATTCACAAATGAGCCACGAGAGAGTGCATCGATGAGAAACTACCTAATAGAAATAAGTCGTTTGGACAAAATCATGAAATTTCCCAGGGACAATACGGCACGTGTTTAATGGAAACCGATGCAACGGGTCTCTGCGAAAAAAAACACCACGTTCCCGTCCAAAATTTCGTAGATGCCGAAGCGCGTAAATACACTACGTTCGACATCAGGTCTTGAAACGCTTTTATTTATTCCAGACCTGACTAGTTCGTGGCTTGTCAAAAGACACTTGAATGTGAAATGGATCGTGTTTGAGAACCTGTAGGTTCATGGTACAGATCTTATTCCCAACCCACTGGTATATACTTAGACCCAGTGAAATTTATCCTAATACACAGTTGAAGCAGGATCATTTTGGGATGTATTTCAATATCTGATTGGCCCCATGGAAGCCTACAATGAGTTCATCCAAATAAAAACTTGACCGGGTAGAATGGTCTCCTCTGGTGGCATAATAAAACAGTCATGTGCGCATCATCTTCTAAATTATTGGTCGTACATCCCGACAGAAAAACTTGATGCAGTCTGTTGGTCTAAATGAATCGCCTTGCTGTGTCAGCTGCCGAGTGAAACATTAGTCACGCGTCTGATCCCTTTAGTTGTAAAACAAGAGCAATTCATAATGATTTTATAAGGTCGGTCACAAATGACGGATTCAAAATTTCAATATTGCTGTCTTTTCACAGAGACAGTTTCGGCTTCAATTATTATCTATGAGCTAATTGCCCGTCACCTGAATTCGTAGATCAACAGGGATAACCTCGTCTACTTGTTTCTAAGGTTAGTAGATTCATGGTCAAATCGTTCAGCTCTAAATGAAACAGATTAATTGGTTTCATTAATTGAACTCGATTAAGCGGAATGGGATTGCTTGTAATAAACTGGATGCAACTTTGTCAAATTTTATGCACAATTGCTAGGATTTTTCAACCGGTTCACTTCTGGCCCGCTTGGGATCAAACTTCTGTACAAAATCCAGTTGTTGATGCTAGTTTATCGATGGAGTCTCAGGATGTGCCACATGCAGTGTATGTTCTACGGTCCAGGAAAAAACGTGTTCCATTGTGTGAAACGCCCCTCATATGAAAGATTTTTCCCCAGATGTTACCAACCTTGAAATTTCAAATAAAGCAAGCTCGTTTTCAGTGATTTTCAGTAATCATGCTACTAAATCACAACATATATATCACTAATCAAAAGACGATTGTTTTGGAGACAGAAAACATTCAGATCATAGATCGTTTGAATGGTCCTCCATGAGAACATTTCAAACAAACAACAGAGTGACGAACAAGCTTGTTTTCAGTGATTCGTTTCATACCAACTAATTACAGAATATATCCCTACTTGGAAAATTAATTGTTTCGGAAAAATAAAATAAAGCCATCGATCACAAATTATTAGGATCGATTTCATATTGAGACCGGATGTGAGTTTTTTAATGATCATTTATTGGCATGATTATGTTCGCACTGTGTTCTCTTTGGGACTTCAAATCGGCATGAAGTTGTTCAAGTTCAGTTTGGTGATCTGAATGTTTGAGATAACGCCAGACAAGGAGCTAACCATTCGGTGTCACGAAGCCATTAGACTTTGTGGTCAGCCTAGCACTCCCATGGTAGGGCTGCCACCTTGATTCCGATCGATAAACATGTTCTCCCACCCTATCCCTCTGTTCAACCCAACTGTGACTGGTGACCTTTGACCTTTGCACTGATTTATCATTGTCCTGATCGAACTTTCACAAGAATGTTTGTACACAGCTGAAGAGATACCGTGAAACAGTTGAATTCAACCTGCCCTCTGACTATGCTTGTTCTTGCTCTTATGAAAGTANATGAAAGTAGCTAGGTGTTATAGTTTCACGACAGAATCACAGACCAATTGTTTCGATTTATTAGGGGCCGCGCGGTTCAAGCAGAATCTCGGTGGTAAACAGAGCACAAACAAGTGATTGGTTAATATCTTATTAGTTAGTTTGTTCCAGCAAATCGGCCATTCCATCTTTGGTCTTCTCCTGTGTCCCGTTCACGGCCGACTTCGGCAGTGCGATTCCGTAATTCGATTGCGATTCCCGTCTGTTCTGAATACTGCAGTCTGCTATAGTCAGAAAAGTTGAACAGCATTTCGGTGTTTTCCTGGACAAATCGGTGATTCAGAATAAAATGAACTGTCAGAGAATTCTCTGACAGAACAATGGGAATCTTTTGTAATCTAAAATTGTCCAAGCCTCCCAATGTGCTCTACGCACTTAACAGCTTTGTTAAGTTCAGCACAGAGCTTGCCGTGGCAAATTTTAGCCACTTTCAAACTTTTCTGACAGAATGGGAATATTTTGTAATCTAAAACTGTGAGTGTTATTAATTTCAAGGATAGACAGATCAGTTATTTTTATCTTGTGTGCATTTATGAGAACCAATTGATGATTTTACATTTTTCCGAACCGATTACTTTTGTCCAATCGATTTTTCTCATTCACCGGTTCAAAAGCAACTGCTTTAATTTATTTGTACAAATATTCTGGTTTTATAGAACGCTTTAGATTTCCTAGACCGTAAAGTTTATCTATTTTGTTTCGCTAACAGTTAGCCATTGTTCTTGGATAAAAGTTTTACCTTGGGGTAGTACCGACTGGGTTAATAAATCACTGCATGTCTACCTTCAACGCATTTATAGTGAAACAGTTCTGGCATTCTACCAATCATTAATTAGACTGCGGATTGTCTACATTGTTTTGAATGTAAATCTTCGCTACTGAATATGGTAATCAATTCTTTCTTTATCGTTGAATTAAAAGGAGGAATAGTGAAGTGGGGTGGAATAGGCGTAATGTAATGAAATCTATGCTGATTGGAAGCCGCTTCGAATAGTTGGTAAATACTCGGCGATAAGAGACGCAGATGATTATCACCTGGGGATCCTCTTTCAGTTTTACGGGTGGATAGAGGGCATGGAGAGATTATTTCATGTCATTTTTCGCTGACTTACTTCCGCGACTCTTCAAACGATTCCGAGTTTTCGTTAGCGTGCCAAATGTGCTGGCCGAGCTGCGTCGACGATTCTTTTCCGGACGATCACGCATCAATTGTAACGTTTCTTCGATATCATCAAAGCAAAGATTGAGCAATTCTACCTCAGCATTTATCAGACCGGTACCTTTGTTTGATTAAGCGCAATAAAACGATTGATGTGGTAATGACACTATTCATATAAATAATCAAAAAGAATTTGGAATCAAATATCACTTAATACAGGTTGGATAAGTGCATAAGAACGGACAACAGTTGTTGGTTCGAGTTTCCAATAGCGTAACGAAACGGGTGCACTACTGTTGAATTCCAACGTGACCAGGACAACCGTCTGATCTCCTTTCCTCCGCGTTACACAATTTTTCAGTAAAAGTCTAATTTATGAAACAACATGGGGGGTCGATCAGTCTCACAGGAATTGAATAGCACACAGCTACAAAAGTGAACCACACTAAGACCACAGAGATTGTATGCGTGTCTGCGGAGTCGTAAAGTTTTACCCGAGAGGAGGAACAGTCATGCAACCTATTGCGCTGTTTTAGGTATTTGGAGGAGTAGTCGTGTTGCCCAGATTGTATGGGTCTCAGCAGTGCAGTGCGAATCCATCGACCCAAATGAAGATCGTGAACCCTGGTCCTCATTACAGGTAGAACGCAAGCGTATTGTCTGTACGACCACCGGGAAGTTGATCGGACCGTTCTTTACGTATCCTGTACGCAGTGTAATGTACCTAATCTTTGAATCCTTGTTACGGATGGCCCATGCTGACAACTAGGAGGTACTGTACAGTTGTTTCGACCTAGTTAGGTCATAACCCTATAGGCTAGTGCTGAAGTGAACGAATTTTGATGCCTGCAACAAGCTTGCAATGATTGGGTGCATTACAACGCGCAAGGAATACTAAAAAACGGTGCGATCAACTGTTCGGTGGTCGACCAGACAGTAAGTACACCTGCGTTCTTCTCCTTTCTTATTTATTTTTCATTGTACTTTCTTTTATTGAATATATAAGGACACAATATTCAGGAAGGGGAAAGCGATCAACAAAACAGAATGAGGAATCAGCTGGCAGTGGTGGGATTCGAACACATCCGCCGAGGCGATAATTTGGTGACGTTACAACTCGGCCACCACCGTCCAAAGCGGTTCAGGGTTGGCAATCCTCGGTCGGGTCGACGGATTCGCACTGCACTAATGAGACAACCAAATTGAAACAGCTGTTCAATGCTTCCAGCTTTCCATTGCACTCTTCATTTGCTGTGTACACGATGAAAGTGAGTCTATTCGTCACCGTAAGGATTGTAAATTCTCCAGAAGAGGATTCAAATGTTTCAGCATTTGCAATTTGGCTACTATATATATGTAAGTAGTCTAACTATACATGAAAATATCCATTGACTGTGATACACTGAATGCTAAATGACAGACTATCGAAGCTGAATGACTATTTATTTGATCACTTCTTACTACTGTTCTGTTTTTGTGTTTGTAACTGAACGCTTCTGTTCTGGTTTGACTGTAGCACAATTTTACATATCATTCTGTACCACCACGTTTGAACATGACTATACTTTGTCGTCAAGTAACCTAGTCAAACACGGTTTGCGTAGAAATAAACTGCCTCAGCCCTCAACCTGTTTTCTGGGTCCGCACAAGCCGTGCGTGAGACTACACTTGACAATTTCCAGTTTATCGCCGCCGCCCATTCGTTTCTACATGGATCCAAACAAACACCACCAGACGGTATTCAATTTCAAATAGCCTCACATCAAACAGGAGTTCTCATTGCATGGAAGTGCATGGAAGTACAAAATTCACCACAAGCATTTCTGGAAGAATTGTGAGCTGTTAATACGAATCACACAGGTTCCTAAGACCATTGGGATTCAACTGAACTTACTAATTTCTTCAGCAGTCACATCTATGGCGTAGTGATATTCTGGATGACGTGGAAGAGTGTTCCCTTTCATTGATGTCATAGAACGAGACATGGTCGCATTTGATGTCACGTGAGGGTGAACCACGTGTGAGGCCAATTTACGCGAATGAAACATATCCGGACTGTCCACGTGATTGCTGGACCAAAAGCGAGAGATTAAAGTGATGGGCTTTAGTCTGTATGCTCCAACCGTCGAATCCGCGTCAAATGAATAGAAGAATCAATATTGAAGTATTTTTCTAATTTGAGGATTATCATTGTTTTTCTTTTTTTCTTTTTCATTTTACTTCCTTTTTTATTGAATATATACAAAGATACAATTTTTCGGGAAGGGGGAAGCGGCCAATCAGAGGGTTGCCATACAACACACAAATGGGGAAAGTCAGACTCAAACGGTTGTTTGTTACAAATGCATGTATTCCCCTAACGAAGCTGAGAAGCGGTCCTCACCGAATCTCGTGACTAGATGAAAAACCATAAGCTCTTACTCGACGTTTATTTTCAGTTTTTTTCGATCATATTCTGAGAAAAAGGATTGTCGGCTTGGAAATTAGTTCTCATTTTATTCGTACGTATGTCCACTTGACCAGCTTTCCCAAATTTTCTATGACAAAGAGAGCCCGGAAAGAATTTTGATCCGGGGTCAACACAACTAAGCCTATTTTCAAGCAAATCATGGTCCTGGGGAAGAAATTTTGTGTGTGTTCTTCACACGAGATCATACAGCTAACATCAGTAGATAACCTCCAGAACGAGTCGATTTCAGAGGAGTTACTCTGACATCCTTTGAGCTTTTATTGTAGAGATTTATATTGCTACCCTACCGTTGATTGAACCTCTGACTGCACGGGCATTTGTTGTCAGTCATTGATTGGCTACTGTCACACCTCCCATCTTCACATATCATATTGACTGCAAGATTGTTGTGCTTCAGCTACTCCAGCGTCCGTGCTGAGTTATTCACGCATAGTGATTCATTGTTTGGCGAACTGCCCCACTTGACCGCATCCCAACTGCACCAATTGTTCACACTTTCGCTTTTTCAGTTCAGCTTCCAACTTACTTGCACCCTTGAGGATGTAGTCTTATGTTTATGAAAGTGGTTGCTCAAATTTTATCGAAAAGAGTTACTTCCATTTTGCGTCAGTTATACAGTCAAAACGGTGGGCGTAACTCCAGTAATGAGTGCACTGGATATTCTCTTCAATAGGGTGCCCTAGATCTATGAATCTGTTTTCGTTATAGATCTCGCTAGGTTCATGTATGGACTCAACTGGCAGAACTTAAACTCCTCCCCAAACAGTTGATATTGTTCGCGTTCTGATTGTACTACAGGGGGGGGGGGTTAAATATTCAACCGGGAAAAGTTGGAAACTCATGTTAGAAATTACATAGAGCCCAGTGAATGGCCCGTACCCGGTGAAGATACTCTACTACAGGACTATTCACCAGTCGAGTGTACAGATGAATGAGTTCGGTTTTAAGTGGTACGCGTTCAATGTGGTCCAGCAACTAAAGCAGTTTCGTCATCCTACAGGTTTCTGACTTGCTCAGCACAGCTTCATGCCCATACCAAAGTTTAACGTCATGTTCGTTGTCTCAGATAAACACTGACAGTGATGTGAGACTGACAATACCGTCCGTGCGGGTTCGATGCATTGCAATCTCGTGGTGGATATGGATTTCACGCTGTTTTTCCAAATAGATCTAATAACATAATGCTGCCTTGATGGTTTTTCTCAGTATCTGTAAAATAATAGAGCTGTATGACCGTATACCTTCTTTCCAGTTCGAGAATTGGGTGAAATGTAAGTAATTTGTAGTTTCATTCTTCCTCCATCCGCGATGATATTGAACTAAGATCGTTCGAAAAAAGATGCGCGTTATAAGTTTTTGTTTAGAATCTTGTGATTCGGTTGAAATTAATTTTTGGTTACATAATGATCGCAAGAGAAAGACCTTTCAGTTCATTTTATCCTCATTCAGATTGAAAGAATTACCAGGAATACTAACCGAGTGTCACATGGATATGGTAACATACCCATACATACCAATATATACAGCACTGGCCGATTGTGATGCACACAAATATTTTCTTTCTGATCAAATAGAGTTTCGTTATATTTATCACCTATATTAATGCCTTAGGTATGGACAATAACTTATTTTTTGTCCACTTCGATCTACCTAGTTTATGGGCTGCATGACTGTCAATCAAACGTGCCTGACCTTGGCTAGCTAGGCAACATGCAAATCACAAACGTTATCAAGTATGAAAACGCAATATATTCTAATAGGAGTGACTCAAGAATTATCCCAAATTATCTACATAAACCCTTATAATCCTGGTTCATTGTTATGAGGCATTATTCCATCCAACCATATAATTCATTATAGAAACTCTATTGAATAATCACTTGAAATCCTTTCACTACTCGGAGAAATTGTATTAAATAAGGTTTCAGAATGATAATGTATGTTTGATAGCTAACTCCTTGAATTCGACAAATACCTTTTTCATCAAAATCAACCTTAAAATCAAGCTCATTTTTATGCATAGTTTTGAACGTTCGTATTGTTATCAACATAATGAAGCAAGCAGCGCTCGAAATCAAAAGTTCTCTCTATCTCAGTGACGAGGACGGAAGTAGAATTGCAAGAGCACACATGCTGGGATTTTTCATATCGAATCTTGCCCAGTGCTTTAAAGTTAACAAAAGCACGATTTACAGTATAATCCATGGGAAAAAAACAACCACAACAGCCTGCGGAGGTCGTAAAGCGAGCACATCCAAATAGGAGGACGAATTAATTTGTATTACTCTGAAAAATATTACAGAAAATCGTTGTCGTCTATCTAACGAGAAGATCTTCCCCACCATTCATACTTCTTCAAAGAAGAATGAAAGAATTTAAAACGCGTCAGGTTTCAGCTGAAGTCAAGCCAGCATTGAGCGCCCAGCAAAAGCAGGCCCGTATTGAGAGAGAGAGTGAGAGAATTACTCACCCGTTGAGATTACTCATCTGGGCAGAGATAAAACATAGTCAGTCTTGTCGGTGGACATTAATTAAAGGCACCATGAATAGTGGAAAATTGGCATCAGTAATGAAGAAAATGTTTCCAGAATTTCGTTAAAAAAAATCGTCTGGAAAAATTATCGTTTTTCAGGATAACGTTCCATGTCCAGTTTCACGAGAGGTTAGTACAGTTATTTAGTTAAGGAGATTTATTCACTCATGATTTACTCTTAGACTTCAGAAAAGAAGCGTGTCTCTAAGGTTCAGTTCATGCAACTTCCCCTAATAGCCCGAATCTCCATGTGATTGAAAATCTGTTTTCTGTTTTGAAGAGAAAGGTCAATGTGCTGCCTGTACATTGGACATTGGAGGCAAAGTGCAATACGTCATGGAGCACAAAATAGAAAATGACTTCATAACAAAGTTGGTGAATTCGATGCTGAAGAGACTCAAAAAAGTCCCAAAGAACAAAGGCAGACCAATCGGCTATTAGTGTACACAAAATTTACATCTTAATTATCATTAATGTTAATTTTGTTGTGAATAAAAATTGTTCTATTCTTTGTAGTTAGCTCTTAACTCATCATGGTCTAGGTCAACCACTACTGACGGAATGGGAGTCTCCGCTACATTCTGAAACATTCCATCTGCTGAGTATAAAGGAATCTGGAAAATACTGCTATAAAGACTCATATAAATGTCAATGATGAAGAAGCTCTTTCTGCGTTTCAGACTGAAGAGGGATGAAAATGGTACTTACTCTGCCAGTGAGTAGTCCGGATCTGCACCCAAGTGAAGTAGCTGATCTACAATTTCTTTTGCCGGACAACTGAGCACCTACAGTTGGATTGATACAATGGAACAGGTTTCATTTTGCGGTTGAGAAATGGTGTGTAATTTTTGCCGAAAATCAAATTATGGTTTTATTTATGGACATTTGAAACACAGAGACCTAATTTATGAAAGCATGCAGGACTCCAGTAGTAATGAAAAAATTCGTTTTCCAAGAAACTCCCAGAGAAGTACCGGTCCTATTGGAAACCACATCTTTGCTGATCAGCACATGAAAAATCCCCAATAGACAATAAACATACTTTCTGTTCTACCCCGTTCAAAGTCCTTCAAAATTGACTCGCTGTTTATCGTCCAAAGATGGATCAGTTATATGTGTGAACGCGTGTCCGTACTCTAATTTACGTAATCATATGAATCAAACTGTTCATGTTGATTAGCTAGATGTCCGCTCAGTTCCATCAACGAGAACCGTCCTTATTATCTTAATTATAGGGGACAGTGATTGATGCGACGGGGTAACCTCAATGGCAAAGTCAATGTGTTTGTGTTTACTTTTTTTCTGCTTGGCAGGACGTTCATCCATAGCGGCCAGTTTCCGGATGCAGTCAATTGCGAATGTAGTTGTAACCGACTAGTGTCTTCGATGCGTGAAAGGGAAGCCCATTGTTAACTCATTTCTTATCCTAATCTTTTTATAGTTCACTCTTTGTTTGTTTCATCATTCGGATGCGCAGCTATGCTTTTTTCGATCATATGGTCTTGAAAAACAACCGACCCTGTGATCACCGTATTCTGGGTTTGCACGATTCGCATGAAGTACAAAGAAAGCTAATTCGTGGTTGATGTCAAGTTGTTATGTGTTGTCTACCTAGTGGTGCTGCTCATTCAGAGTCAAATACTCAGTGATGCACCGGAGCATCGATTAAACCGACCATGTTTGTTCTTCGTTCAGAAAAACAAAGTGGTCGCGTCAATGCCTACTACATTGATGCTTCGAAACTTTAAGTACTGTTAAATAATCAGTAGTCAAAGGTCATTTTCTAAATTTTCAAAGAAGCCCCTTCCATTTCCTGTTTTTCAGCACAAGTTCTGGTAATGTGACATCCAACGGTTTATTTCCTGGTTGAATATGTTTGTTAGCATGATAAAAAATACGGTTCACATGGGACGAAAAAAGTTACTACTTCAAAAAGTTATTCTTTGTGCAATACAGAAGCGTCAAGCATTACAGAATATTATAAAAGATCACGGTATCGTCCTGGCTTCCGCTCATTCAGAATGGTCATCTCTACAAATTCGCTGGAAAGGTGACGACTGGGATCTGGGCGTGTAGGAAGGTGTACCAACCCAAGTAACCCATTGGAAAAACTAGGGCTAATATTCTGACCCGTCCGAGTTTGATTTATCGGAGAATCAGAGTTGACTATTATTACAACACTAAAATGCAACCCTAAGTTTCACCAGGATTTTTCATACAAAGTTCGATCTCCCACTTCTTCGCGACGCTCTAAAATGCTTATTGTTCTGGTAACTAAATGGCAGTTTAACGGAGCTGCAGATCATCAGAACATAAATTGGCAAATAAGCTCGTTTTCAGTGTATCTTACCCATGACATTACAACACAATCCATGAACATCACCCTTAGTGGTTGAGAAATGGAATAATTAAGTCAATCACAAGTGCAGTTGTGTCACACCTTGTCGATGCTAATCACATCGTAAACGTGACCGAAGCGTTCCAACCTTTGTATAGAGTTAAAATGGGACGGTCTATAGGTATGTGCGGTTTCGCATTCTAGCCACAGCGGAGGCAGTTAGTGTCCGTCTTCGTAAGTCCCTTCTGAGTGCTCAAAAACAATTTGTGCAAGCACTCAAGCTCCCATGGCCGGATGGCCGTGATGAAACATCGAGAGCTAATGATAATTTGAGACCAATTATGATATAAACTGTTGACTACTTGAATTACTTTCCATTTTCCGTTGTAAATCCTTATCTGTTACTAATAATGTATGTATTGTTTTAATGACATGGATAAGACACACTGAAAACGAGCTTGTTTGCCAGTTTGTGTTCTCGTTATTTGCTCAGTGGGACTGCTTAAACATTTGGTAAAAATATAATGACATGTTACTTTGGTCTGGATTCACCCTACGCCTACAACTGATCTCACGTGTAGTAATGCGGGCGCCATTCACTTTGCTGGGAATGAGTGTGTTCTTCATGCAGTCTAAAGTTATGGAGATTCAAACTGTAGATATCCGAGCGAGACTGGTCTCTGGCTTAGACGTGTGATATCCATAAGGAGTTTGCTCAATTGTTGCATTGCTTAAAATGTCTGTTCATGTGATTGACAGATGCATGAATTTGTTACATTTTACCTTGTTGGAATGACGAGCATCAGAATCAGATGCATGTGTGACTTCCGAGGTAAACTGGGAACTAATATGATGACTGTAAGAAAAATGCGGTACTGATTACGAGCAAAGATATTGATTGAGTTCTACCATTTTTGACCATAATTTTCTGTTTTTGAGGAAGGATTAGGAGGCAGATTTGACGTGTTCTTCCCAAACAGTCTGTCTGCACAGAGCAAGTGGTACAGAATTCGAATTCCAGTGAAGTCTGTCACAGAATACTATTTATCCGTCACAAACAGGATAAAAACAACTAATAACGTTTTACAAAACGTGTCAAGGGCTCCCTATGTAATCGGTATGTATGCTCTGGCGCCACAGTGTCAGAGAGATTGACCCAAACTGTGATTCCTGAAGAACGTGTGAAGAGATCTTTTCGACGCAGAGTTTTAGTCCTATACTCATCTATCCTAGTGAATTTGTTTCCTATTTTCGGATATTTGTATGTCTTCTTCATCTTACCTTTTTTAGCACTGTTTAATTTCCCTAACTCACTCACCCCGTTTCTTAGTCGTGTTACCCGATTTCCTTAAACAGTTAGAGAAGACACTGTCAGATTGTCATACACCATTTTATCCGCTTTCCGAAAGGAATTCTCGTGAACACCGTTGACTTTAGCAGAAACACGCTATCGTTCAAATCTCTTCACATTGCTTGAATTCCGGCATATACACCATCTCTTTTATCAGGGTCCACTGAACTTCGCCTGTGCCCTGTCTTGCATATGTACTCACAAACAAGGGAAGAGAGAAGAATAAGAGAACGGCACTCCTGAATTGTTTCTCTGAAATCCGTGAACTAGTTGTTTCTCGTTTTTCTCCACGAAGTGAGTTCAGTTTGAAATGTACGCTTCGCACAAGTTATTCACAATAAAATAAAATGATGTTTTGTTAATGACTTGCGCTCGTTTACCACTGTACTTTGGCAGCCTAACAAAACGCTATGTCACTGTTGCGTACTTTGATTTTGTTGTTTTGTGTGTGTGTGTGTGTGTGTGTGCGTATGTGCAAGCGGTCAGAGACTTTAAGATTAATTCCGTTAGATACAGGCACTCACGAAAACAAAATAAGTGAACCAAAAATGCATAGTTTTAAATTTCTCAACTCTTATTTGTTGTATGAAATCCCGGCCCGATCGGTTTGATTTATCATTCGTATTTTGCTCGCTTACCTGGAACACATGTAACTCGTTTGTTGGCGGCTCGTTGCGCGTGAACGAATGCGCGTCAATCTTGAACATGAACAGATTGTTGTTTATCGATTTGGTCGCGTCACTTTTGAATCTGGGTGCACGAATGATGCGGACGGGAAACCATTCGGCTTCTTGCTACAAATCATTTGCGATGAAGTGAAGCGGAGTGGAACCAGAGGGAGGGGTTTTAGGGGTGGCACGTGAGATTTTTCTTCTATGAATACCAAAAAACGACAAATGGCTTTTAGTGAATCAATTAGATTGATTTTATGCAAACAGGGTGAGAGAGAGAGAGCGAGACTGTCATTAGTCGGAAGTAGTATACCACAATTCCAACGGAGAGAAATAATATTCTTTTGTGCTGTAGAGTAGGCAGAACAAACAGAACATCTTTATCGTGTCTTGAGCAGATTCAATGAAATGATCAAACGGTGTTTAACGTTCCCTGTTTATCGCTGTTGACTTCAATTCTAGTGATCAGTATGTGTTATTCGTTCGTCGAAGAACATTCTGCGTCCTGCTCGGATCGCATAAGTAACGATAACCTAATAATATTCTATTCTATTCTTTTTCTTGAACCTGATTATCTTCAATTTCCCATCCTCTTATTGAATGAACCACAGCTTTCGAGGGACTTTAATTTGGGATTACGATTGTAATATGGTAGTATGTAAAAAAACTAAAAGCACAAGTTTTTATTATTATTATTAAACAAACATTGATTGTCAGGACTCACAGTTTTCGGAAAGTAAGAAGCACTTATCTAGCCTACGCCTTGAGTTCGGTTGTTTCGATAAATTCAAATTCAACTTTTTATTATGGGAAAAAACTTACAAAGACTTCGCTTATCAAATTCCATAAGGTGTTTAAACTTTGGGTTCGGAACACGATTCTCAAGAGCATAGTTAGTCCATGCACGTAAACGAGCAATGTAATGTTTGTGACGAACACAAAAGAATATATTATGTAGTTGGGTGTTGAAACCTATTGTTTGCCGGAGCATCCTCAAGCTGACGCCTGAAAGATACTAGTATTGGCACACAGACCACGTGAGGTAATAGAAAGTTCCATGTGCTGCACACTCTGACTGAAAACGAATGGCGATTGCAGTCGAGACAGCTCTTTCGGAGTGCCAACTTCAATGGCTGCCCTCTGAGATGAACATTGGTTGATAGAAACAAAAGAGATCTACATGGATGGTTGAAAGCTCCGATACAGGAAAATCGTATCATCCCTGATTTGACGATATTGAGACGAGTATAGCCCCAAGAGCTGTAATCTTCCGCCATAGGCCTTGAAATGTAGACCTTTGACCATCTTGGTAGCCATTCTCTGTGGATGTTCAAGTGTCTTTCTATCTAACTAAAGCCATGGGTTCCAGGTCTGAATTGAGTACTCGGTGTATGGACGGATATATGTGGCTAACAGACGTGGAAACAAAGCCGGATCCAAAAACAGGTTTCAGCAGTCCAGCCTGTTTTACCGCGATGGACGATACCCTGGAACAGTTTGTAGAGCAACTCAAGTCTGTGCGAATGACTACTCCCAGATCCTTCTCGGATGGAGCATGAGGCAGAGTTTCGTGGCTAAGAATGTAGGAAAATCTACCATTGTGACGTAGTGATAGGACTTTGCATTTAGTAACGTTGAATTCCATGTCACTGGAGACAGACCATCTGTGGACTTCGTCAAGGGCGTTCTGGAGATCAGGTGAATCTTCTGGTTTTGTTACTGTCCTCCATATTTTGGCATCGTCTGCAAACAACAGGGTTTGGGATCCAAAGACGNCACGGTTGACATCTATTGGATCAGAAAGTAAATCGGAAACACGAACTGACATTGCACATAGGCGAAGAAACTCTTCGATCCAGACAAGTACGAATCCAGGGATTCCATAGTTATACAGCTTCCGTAACAGTATTTGATGATTCACTTTATCATATGGTTTAGATAAGTCCAGGTAAATAATATCTACCGCTCTGCCTTGGTCTACAGCATGGATCCAGTAGTCCAGAGACAAAATCAAGTTAG